AGGCTCGTTGAGAGGGACTTTTGAGTGAACGTCACAGCTCGAGATTTACTTGTCGTGTCACATAAATCTGTCTGAGGATCAGAGCTCTTCCCGTGGCAAATACACTCCCATAAATTCCACGCTGAGTAAATCACTTCCATTTAAGCCTGACGCATGTTTTGCGGCAATTTCGTGATTGACTCTCGGCACATGCTAAAGCTCAGACAACACCAGCCACTTCCTTTTCATCCACTCCCGGGGGTAGTGGAATCGAGGGGTGTTTTGGCGTTTTTTGGTCGGCCGTTCGGTCAGTGAAAGGGTCATCATTGTGGGTGAAATATCAAATTGACCCCAAACGCACCCACATTTCACACCATTGTGACCAGTTCATTACGATTGGCTCGAAGGGATGAAACTTTACGGCGGCTTTATGGAAAATTTCAGTGTAAGAAATATTTGTCGGCACTTTACTGTGAAAAATTGCCATTCTTTCTATCAAATAATCATCTCCATTTATCTGTGATTTTACAATTGAACAGAATTGCGTGATTTGAACAGTCAATTCAGTCCACAAGTGGCTTTCTTCCATGGCATATTGGCCTTTTGATTACTTCACTTCACTAGCAAAAGCTGCCAAGACATTTTTCATAACTTACTTAATGCTATAATTGTCCTTAAGAGCTCATCCTGAGAGTCTGTTATTGCGTTTTTCCACTATTTAGAGTGATTCAAAGGCCACAAAGTAATTTGTCTTTACATTCATGAGCCTATTAAGTTCAAATATAATCTAAATAATCACAGAAATATTAAAAAGTGTTGAGAATCTTAAAAACAAACCATAATTCTTCAAAGATTGTCATAATAATGCCTTCGATATCTTGAATTCTTCACAAAAACACAACAAATATCTCTTAATTATGAGAAATATACGTTAAAAAATAATATTATTGTAAGTCGAATTCCATTTACCAACCGGCAAAACACCCATTTTTGCCCAATTGATATCCCTTGAGAGCTTGTGGTGGGAATGCCACTGTCATGGCGGCCTTCTCCTTCTCACGAGATTCTCGCTGTTAGTATTATTTGACGGTAACGCGGAGAAACGCGCGAGTCAGTCAGCCGGATCGTCGGAACTTCATTATTGACTTTCTTCATATTATTCACGGCCGTTTTGACTTAAGAAAATCATTTCTCAAGCCCAGGCAAAAGCGATTCTCGAATTTGTCTGGGCTCTATTAAGCGTCAAAATTAAGATGTGGAGCAAAAATTTGTTAATTGGTGTCAATTTGGTTATTTGGAGAAAATCATGTTCTGAACTCTAAAAGGATTGATAAGAGAAAATATCAAATGTTTCATTCGCATCGCTGAATAGGGTGTGAAATATTCAACCCTAAGCCAACAGCCATTAACGCACTTTTCGCGCCATCAACGCGCCACTCCACAGGTAATCACCGCCAGAGATCATCCACCCTTTTCTGGGGCGGAGGGCGGTTGATTTTATCACAAAGTGCCACATTATTGTCTCACTAATGGGAACGTTAGCACATTTTCTCTAATTTTTATACCCATCGCAACCCCCTGAATCTCACGCCTCCCCCCCCCCAAGTGGGTGGGAAATTTCCATTTTGGCAAACTCCAAAGAGAGGATTTATGGTGACGCAGAGAGGCAGAATAAAATCGCAATAATTTCCGAATCACATGTATGAATGCAATTCACATGAAATATGCAATATTGAGCGATGCCATTAGTGAGAGATTTGTTGATATTCGTCTGGGGATTATAGAAAAGGGGTGAATTTTCACAACGCAATCGAGAAGACGGGCGGGGAAAAATGATTTTTTGCAAGAGTGTGTCCGCGCAGTTCTACGAAAATCCCATCCATAAAAACACGTGTATATATAAGACTTTTTTTTCTCCACACCCAAAACGACGGATGGAAAATCGTTTAGTTTGAATAAATCTCATGGAAAAATATTTCAAACATCATTGCAGGATTAAATGTGACTGTGATCATTTGCAGTCTCGCTTTGCAGATGTACTCGATTGATGTGGGTAGGAAAAATATGTTTTGCCCTTAACATGTGGAGCTGTATCGCCATGGAATTAGCGAGGGTTGATATTTGAGGAAACATATAACAATCTCTCTCTCTCACTCTTCGTACCGAGATTTTTTCTCAGCATCGACGAGAAGAAGAAAAAAACGCTTCACCCTTGAATAACACATTTTCCACCCTCGTAACGATTTTTTAGGGGGTCTGGATGGGGGGGAAAATTCTATCAATTCTCCGGAGGGGCGGCTGAGGAGTTCATAATCGCAAGATGTTCTGGAGAAGTGACATTTTCACGCCGTAAATTTCATAAACCGATTTCCACATCCATCGAGAGGTCCCCATTTGAGCCATATGTGGGGGGGTTGGGGGTGTAAAATTCGAGGGAATAGCGAGCACAATGAGGCACTGAGCTCAGCCTGACACCCACTGTCACAGGCATTTTATTGACATATTACTTTGTTCGTGTTGTTCGTCAGTCGCCGGAAGAAAGGGACTCGATATTGAAGAGGTGACAGGCACACGAGGGGGTATCAGGCCCCAAGTGGCTCCATTGATGATCCGGAGGGTGGATCCGGGGGCTTTTAAAGTCCACCAATGGGCGTTGCCTCTCAACCCAGCAAATGTGGGGGTTAAGTTGCGGCGCTGTTAATTGATTCATAAACATACTTTCAGCGAAAAGAATGCTTCAATCTTGTGCAGAAATGCCACACTCTGGGGGTGAAAATGTAAATCATTTCCCAACCAACGTCATGTATAAACTTCACTTTGGCAGCAATAACATATTTTGTGTGTCTTCCACATAGAAAAATTGATGGGTGGGTGAGTCGACGAAACAAAGCCCACCCCCCAGAGAGTGAGTGTGCTTTTAGTGGGGCGCGCATTCATCCCCCTGCGGAGGAACGAGCCGCACATTGAGTGTTTGACGTGAGCTTTCTGCAGTCTCTCACTCAATTTTCACTCATGCGATAGGGGTGGAAATTCAGGCCTTCCCTCGGCAAATGAACGACACTTGTGAATTTGGCAGACATGGAGACAGACACTCTTTTTATGGTGTCTCGTGCGTGGGAGGATTCCCAAATGATGCTGCCGAGGAGACCAATTTATTTCCACAGAATCCCATTTGTTGCACCTCTGCAGTGATTGCAGCGCAATTTCATGTGTGTGTGTGGGAAAATCTTTGAGATTTCGCACATATTTCGTGCTGGCTTCACCCCCAGAGCGACATACATTCACTGCGGGGGTTTCTTTGAGGGATTTTCGCTCTTGTGAGTAATTTCTTGAATTATTCATTTACCTAATTCGGTGGAAAAGTGCAGGTGAATTGATTAAATGTAATTACTCTCTGTAGTTGAGGTGTATTCAAAGGAATCCTTCTACCATGCAAGAAAGCTCCTCTTCATGCTGTGAATGCGGGAAAGTTTACTGAATATATGTTTTCTGGGCTTTTGGCAATCGAAAATTTAAATGCTGAATAAATAAGTGTGCAATTGTACAAATCGACGGGTTCCTCGAAAACTATCAAAAGGTGACTTTTGAGCATTGACAGAAATGAAAGAAATGAGATTTATTTACAATAGCGAAAATTGAGGCCATTTTCCTTTTGGTGCTAAAAATTCGACATTTCCTTCAATTTTAGAGATAATTAACTAAAGACAAAAATTCTTTAGAATTCAATGAGCTTTCAAATGACGTTGAAATCATGGCAATATCTCAATTAGGAGCCAAGATATTGCAAAATGCAGAGAAAGTTGCGTATTTTTACGCCGCATTTTTCGTTTTGGCCAATATTGAAAGTCAATATTTAATAGAATTTAAGTAGAAATATTGAACCTAAAAAAATTGAAATAAATGAAATTACATGAAAGATCAGTTGAATTGCAAATTCTATTTGAAAAATCAAGTCAAATGATAATTTTTTGCAGAAATAATCACAGAAGACTATCAAAAACCGACTTTTTATAGTTGAAATAGTCGAAATTGACCAATATTATCAATTTAATCAACGATGGCAATTGTGATTCTCACTTTTGCTAGTTTTCGAAGCACCCGTCGACATTAAAAAGCCAATGACCGCTTCATTCCGCTGATCTGCCTTGAAAACAAACTCAATTACGCGCGTTTCCTCTTCGCGAAGGAGGCGCTCAAGAAAAGCGAAAGGAGAGGCTCCATCTCGATAATTTGCACGGTGATTGAAATGAGGGTGATTTTATGGCCACGATCCCCACAAAGAACGTGCAAAAAGTCACGGCCGAAGGTGTGAGAGATGGGAAATTTTGTTATGATTTCGGCGCTCGTGCCTTTGCGTGATTCCTCGAAGGACAAGCCCACGAAGTGGGAGTGGGAAGAAGGGGGGGAGGGGGTGGAAAAAGGGCCAGAGAATCCAATCTGGGACATCTGATTGGAATTGCTAATTTCGTATTACCTCCAGAGGAGGATGTCGAGAACGCTTCTTTGATTATATTTGTCTCTGGGGTGCTTAATTTAAATTTTTCAGGGAAAACATTCTTGAGGTCATTTCGGCCGCGCCACACACAAAAAAAAAACGAAAAGCACCACCCCCTCTTTCCACGCACATTTCCCCCCCGCCCCCTGTGCCACGCCAATTTGGAGTGAAATGAGAGAAAAAAAAAACCGAGGAGAGGAAAGAAGAATGATGAAGAATGAGATTTTCAGGATTGTACAAATTATGAAATAATTACATAGAATGGGGATGATGATGGAAATTCTGTCTGTCGCTCTGTATTTTTCCACCCTGGCCACGGAGCTTTGTGCGACGGGGGTGTGGGAAGAATCAAGAGGTTATGCGGAGGGGAGTTTTGGGTGGAGAACGAAAACAGAGAGATAACCGTCAAAAATTAGGGGATAATTGAGAGAGTCTCTTTGAGGTTAATTTACATCTAATTAAGTGCATATTGAGGGATGTTTTTGCCTCTGCTTCTCCCCAACTAAACTGTGCCGTTTAATTGCAGGACCAGGCTTTTGGGGACTCATCAACCCACAGTGGAATATGTGCAACAAGGGACGACGACAGTCACCGATAAACGTTGAACCCGACAAGCTCCTCTTTGACCCCTATTTGCGACCCCTTCACATTGACAAGCACAAGGTAATGCGCTCCCCCACTTGATTTCCCGCCAATTTGTCCCCCTTGCAAATCACAAATGATCATTAATCATCGCGCTGGGAATTGTTCTTGACCAGGAAGTCCATCGTCTCCTTTTCGCTTTGGGAAAAAGAGGTGGGAAAATTGTCATGAAATAGAGGAAAAGTATCAATTATATGACTTTCTTCCCCGGCAATTCCATCTCATCTGCCGGACAGTGAAAAATGGTTGTGCGATTGAACAGAAAGCGGCAGTGATTAATGGCGCCAAATTCACCCTTTGACAACAAATGCAGCGCGCGTCTATCGCTTAACCACCTTGTTTGTGGGCGCATGTTAAAAGTGCGACCCGGAATTCGTCCCTTGCTAATTGCTTGAAAAGCCCATCGGAATCCCATTGAGAGTACTTTGTGTGAAATATGCGAACAGAGGAGTTCCATTGGAGTATCTCTTGATTGAGATATTGTATCACTAATTGTCGCTTCTGCCGCACAGTGAACTTTTTCCCTGTTGGGCAGAAGCAATAGACTTCCTTTTCATCACTCTTAATTCCAGCTCAATTGATTCCACTTCCACCAAATCAACCCCCAGAGCGAAAGAACTCCGTGTGTCAAGCCACGAGCCGTCATCAGCATTATTGTAACACACTTGAAATCCACCCTCCATTCATTTCCCCGCGCCGCCAAGCGGAGGGTGGTTGAGAGGGAAATTCCGGGGGACACCCTCACACTGGCGCTGATTCATTTTCATGATGTGCTTAAGTGGTTTTTTCCAACCCCGCGCCGACGAGAGGAAGAAAAAAGAGACAACCCCCAAACCCTCTCTCGGGGAAAAGTGAGTCTCTGCGGAGATAAATCTCGAATACATTATCCACTTTTTGTCAACCTGTTCCATCGTATTCGTGCGGAAGTTCATGAATCTTTGTCGCCCTTGTCTGGAGAATGTGTGTCGAATGACGGAATGTTGATGATGGTCGTCTCCCTGCGATGCTCTGTACATTTATTATTGCCCCTCCAGAGGGGCTTATCATGTGGCTCTGCATATGATTTTCCACAGAAACTTTTCCGCACTCACAAAATTGTACACACAGTCAAATATAAATAGCAACATTTGCTGGATGATTCACCCTTAATTGTTGTTTCTATCTTGTTAAGAAATTGTGCTTCCTACTTAACATTTTTGCCTCAATTCCTCTGTCTTCTTCACTTTTGAAGTAGAAGAACAAGAAAGTTGAAACTGAACATAAACTTTATCGAATCGAAAACTATGAAAAGTCAAAATTTAGCGTTAATTTCGCTGCGAAATTTGCCAAATTTCCCTCAAAACACATTTAAATTGTTCGTTAAAGTGCTAATAATGCTTTGTAATAATATTTAAGTTGCTTTTATTGGTGTTTATTGAAATTTTTGACAGAAATATGGTGAAGTTAGTGAAAATATAACTTTCAAAAGTCGATTTTTACGATATATTTGAGTACATTTTATTCAAATGAATTCTAAAAAACCAACTCTTCATGCTTTACAAGAAATTTTTAAACAAATAAATAGTCAAATTTAAGTAATAGAACTACCCTTCGATATCAACTATTGCGAAGTTTCGAAGCTTTCTGTGCAAAATTGCTCTGCATATCGCGAGAATCGTTTAATTTGGCACCAAAACTCCGTCCTGAAGCAATATCGCCGAAAGAATCCCGTGTATTGGGCGTCTCCTCATCATCATCAGCATCTTGTACGATGGCACCGTTGACATAAATGCAAAGCACTCCGCAGGGACGGAGATAAGGCCGCCCTCGGGGTGGCAAAAAGAGTGCCTTTTCTCGTGCGGAGAGAAGGCGAAAGTCGGTGGCGACGAGGAGATATGAAAATGATTCGTGCCTCGCGTATAGGGAAATGATTTATAGCAATGATGAGCTTTTTGTGCGCCAGAAGAACTCTCGGGGAACCCCCTTCCGGGTAGCAGAGCTCCCAAATGCGAAACGGAAGATGTGATACAAATGTGCGCTCTCGAGATAGTGCCGTGCTTGCCTTTTGTGCTGCCCCCGCGCGCGCGCTTCACATCATCGGGGGTTGAAGTAGTTAGTCATAGAGAATGATAATGGGGTGCAAAATTTGCAGTTGAAATGGGGTGGAGATTTCCATCTTGAGATATTTCCATTGCTTCCTCCCGCACTGCCTTTTTTTCCCCCTCCCGTGCCATCGCGAAAAAGTATCACTCAGTGGAATTTTCGCGTGGGGGTGGAAAATGCGTCACGATAAGGTTAATTAATTTTTCCTCCCCCCGACCTCTCGATGGCGACAAACAATCAACGGGTGGAAATATTATGTTCACACGCGTTGGCCAACATGAATGAATTGTCGTGAGGAGACAAAAGGACATCCACTCTTGATGACAGATTGTTGACAAGTGTACGAATTAATTTATTTTCAATTCTAACTCCTTTTTTGCTCATAACACATTTTCACATTCAAGGGGCAAGTCACTAGGCGATTTTTGAGGAAATTTAATGGTATAAATTTAATTTTATGAATAAAAAAATCAAAAAATGTATATTTGATTATTTTATTCAAATAAATAAATATTTATTTTCTCAAGTAAAATTCCAAAACATCAAATTTTGAATAAAAATAACAACAAAACGATAATTGATTGAGATTTTTATGAAAAAAAAAGTCAAATTCAGATTAAATATTCAGGAAATAACCAAAATGTAATTGAAATTTTTATGAAAAAATCTAACTTATAAAAAAAATCACAAAAATGACTGAAATTTTTGTGAAATAATCAAAATTTGAATAAAAATCTCAAAATAATCAAGAAATGATTGAATAATCACAAAGTTATTGTTCTCAAATCGCGAGTGACTTTCCCCTTGGTCAAATGGGTATAAAATCTCTGTGAAATTTAAAAATTTTAAATTAAACAATATTGAAAATTGTCAGAAGAATTTTTAATTATAAAATCTCCAATTAAATTGAGTCAAAAAAAAGGCTCATATTTCAATAATTGGGATGATGCTTTTTGAATTCATTCTTTCCATTCTTCTATATAATCTCAATTTGCAGGCATATTCTGGCGTTGGCGCCAGAAAGCTTCAATCAGAGAAAATTAATTAATTTTCCACCCGGAAATTCCACCATGAATTCATCTAACTGCAGTTAGAAAGCAAATTAATAAATCATCGCAACTGCATTTGATCATTTGGTGGATTTTTTCGGGGGTGGTTTTTATGTCTCGTTAAAATTCTCCTACAGTCAAAGGATGCTTAAATCCTCCTCTTTTTCCCTCCCTTGTATTTTCAGGTATCTGGAACGCTGCATAATACAGGTCAATCGCTGGTTTTCCGGGTGGACAAGGACACGAAACAATATGTAAATATTTCCGGAGGACCCTTGGCGTATCGATATCAATTTGAGGAGATTTACATCCATTATGGCACGGAGAACAGCCAAGGATCTGAGCATCACATTCATGGATACAGTTTTCCCGGAGAGGTGAGTGTTTTCACCCTTTTCCAATGGGGCTCTTGACCCTTCTCCACACCGACCCTGTTGACTTTGCCTCCGCCACCCTCACGAGGGGACATTTTTATCACATTTCCACCCCAGGATTTGCACAATAAATAAAAACAGAAACGCATGGCAAATTGTGTATTGCATAATATTTGATACTCTTCATCCCCCACACTTTGTCGCGCGCTCTTTCAACAATTATCCCCCAATTCACCCCCAGTGCGCCATATAAAATGCAGGCCGCGAGGTGGCGAAGGGCGGCGGGAAAAAATGCCGTCATATTCTGCATCTGCACAGACACCAAATGGCCATGGTGGAAATTCAAATGGCACACGAGAGATGGTGATGATGATGACCCCAGAGAACACACACACTTGTATCCATTTTGTGCTGATGGTAATCCATTTAAACGATTGTGTGCCGAAGCTCTTTTTAATGGAATTCCCACCGCTGCGACCCGACCACTCACTTCCTGTGCATGGATATTGTCAACAGCAGTGATCTGGCGCGTTTTATGGACTCACGTGGGAGTCGCAGAGGACAAAAGGGCCAAAATTGCCTGCCAATTCGCGCCGTGCACTGCAAATGCGTGCAAATTGCGCTTCCACGTGAGCTTTTCCGCCTTATTAGGCAATTATTTTCGCATTTCAGATCTTGATTTCTTGGGAGAAACTTCGATACTTCTAAATTGTCTTATTTCAAATTGATTAGAGCCAAGTTCAAGCCGAGAACATTTTCCCTGTTATTCTTATGAATTTCACTCGAATTCATTTTTAGTATGGATTAAAGGGTAGATATTATGGTCGGAAGTGATGTACAGCTTTTGTGGAAGTGAAAAGAATTAAAAGTGATTAAATATTTCAAATTGAGGCATTTTTATATTAATCTTTTCTTAAAACAATCAATTTGTGATTGATTAAAAACAGATTTTGGTGTTCAAATAACCCGCAAAATCGTCAAATTTGCATTTAATCTGGGCAGAGTTGAACATTTTTGATCGAAAATATTTCATATTGATTGAGAAAAAGCTGAAAAGCCAATCATAACCTCAAAAATGTCATTTCAGTCTTGAAACTTGTATTTGTGTTTAATTATTTCCGCAGTTTGTGCTTTAAAGTGGTAAATTTAACATCATTATTCAATAGAAACTCATTTCCAGGTTAGAAAGGATCTAAATTAGTCCAAGAACTGTTTTTTAAGCAGGCCTCATAACCTCACAATTTAGTCAGAAAACTTCTTTTAACATTTTTAAAAGGCAAAGTGTTTAAGATTCTGCAGAGTGATGTATATATTTAAGGCAAATTATCTCCCCCTTGGTATGGATAATTTAGAGAAATAAACTTTGAGTTTAGAAATTCGCTGCATTAAACATTTTTCTTGTGTTTTCTCACTCGTATTGTTGAATTTTTGTATTATATTCTTTATGAATTAAGTTTCTCTGAGTTGAACATGAAAAAGCTCATTATTAATTTTGTATGGAAATTATCAAATAATCAGAATTTGAATAAAAAAAAATTATTTTCCGAGTTATATATTCAGAAAGGAAAAAAAATGCACAAAATATGCCACAAACGGAATTTAAAGACTTTAAAGTAAGAGCAAAAAGCCAGTGCTTTAGCAAGAAAACTAAATTTGACTCTGGGAAATACAATCGGAACTTCTACATGCTCTTAAAATTTAAACTTCCGCCCTCTGGCGGCAATGTGTGGAGAAAATAATGAAAAAATAACCATAAATACGCAAATATTTCAATACTTCTGTGGCGGAATCGGGAAATAATTGAATAATCACAAGGTTAATGGTCTCAAATCCTGGTAGGATGTGCGGCCGCTTCTGCTCTCACCTGCTCAGCGCCTCTCAGGACTAGACAAGGACTGAGTGTCAGACGCGCGTTGTACAAATATTGCTCCAGTGCACATTCCATGGCCCATCATCGCTGAGCGCCAACAATTCACTGGGGATAATTGAAATGAGTGTGCTTTTCGGCGCGGGGTGGCGCAAGAGGGTGGACCGCTTGTTTTTTTCCCGCCGAGCCACCCTCACGCCGCCAAAAGCCCGCGAGGCTGCACAGCGCAACATACATAATTCTCAGAGATGTAATTAGATTGTCTCGCTGGCTTCGGGGTTTTGGGGGTGGGAGGGTGGCAAAAATTTATAATCCCTGCTGGAGAAAAGCGCGCGCGTGATTGAAAAATGGGGGCGAAAACAAAGGCGTTGCGAGAGAGAAAGATCGTTAAAATTGAATCAAAATTCAATTAGGATCATTGAATGGTGTAGTGTATCAAAACTAATGCAAATTTCCATGGGCGGAGAGAGTGAGAGAGAAGTTTAGCACCCCATCTAAACTATTAGTGCGACTTGGATTTTGAGAGCAATTTGACCAGACAAGGGTTGAGTCGCATGGTGAGAAAATGGGAAGACAATCAAGTTTAACACCCTCTAAAATCTACATCGCCTATTTGTGTGCTTTCTCACAGTTCCGATGTTCTTATTATACTGTCAGCAGAAAGCCAAAAGTCCCCCTAATCGCTACACACTCAACGGAGATGAGGCACTTCTGGTTTGCTGGGAAAATGTCGAAAGTTTCCCCAAAGTTTCACTGGGAAGCTTCAGTGAAAAGCGACCAATAAAATTTCTCGGGTGAAATTAGCATATAGTATTTTTCTGTCTCACTTTCATAGCTTTCTTTTAATTGCACTTTGAAAGAACTTTTGCTAGAAGAAGATCCCCAAATTTCCATATGAAAATTTCTTGTGAATTTCACTGTGGAGAAACATTATCCTTGACAAAATGGAGAAATCCTCCCCTCAAACACACTTTGAAGTGCACTTTCCCAGCTCACAAATCTCAACCCAATTTCCACCCCACCTTTCGAAATTCAACCCTTCGTGTGTGCTTGTCCGTATTTTTGTGGGTGGTCTGTTTTGTCCTCTGGGTTGAGAGAAAAGGATCCCGAGGAGATTTTGACCGACAACACGCAAACAAGTTTATCCCTTTGCAAATTCATCGCCCCCAAACACAGCATCGGAATTGGGTTTACCCCCAAATTGGGGGTTGGGGTGAATTTTGAAACTCTGAACGGTGCTGTGCAACATGCAAAACTTTTCCGATAAATTATCGATTACATATTATTATTAATTCATATCTGATGACGATGATCAATGAATGTTTGCGAAATGGAAACTTTTGCTTTTTCGACGAGTGGATTATAAATTGCAAACTTTCTGGTGCTTTTCCACTCACCAAATATATATTTGCAGTGGTGAAAATCCACTAATGTCCTTCTTCGGCCACATCCGCTTCCTCTCATTTGATCGATCGCCCCAATGAGAGCTTTAATAGTGTTGCTTCACGAAGCACAATGCGTTGAAATTTACTTACTTTCAGCGAATTGCTTAATGGCAAAGTATTTAATCCTCCATACTATATATATATGTGAAAATGCATAAATGCATATGCCACCCTTCAGCTCTGGAAGTTCACCATTGAATTTGATGTGGCAGGAAAAGCTCGTGTGCTTCGTGTGTGAAGTGCTCGACAGTGAAGATGTGAGGGAATGAAATTAATTTTATAGCCCGCTAAAATGTTTCATCTTCAGCAGATCTCAAGCGCTCAAATTTGCCGACATAAAAGAACACCCCATAGCAATTCCACCCCTTTTTCACTGTGGCCATTTCCACAGTGCATGAAAATCAGCACAGACGATTCGAGGCGGGGCTCTTCTTATGGTTCATCTTTTTAATTCCACGTCCATTTCTCATGTGCGGTCGATTGTAGAATATTTACAATCTCCACAATCTCGCAATTCGACCCACTTTAATCGCCATCCAAGGGGGAGATAATACAATCAGAAGTACTTAAAGGGAGTGGAAGTGTTGACAAACCTTCAATATTCCTATCCAAATCATCCAGATTCTCTGAATTTCCTTCGATTTTCATGCAGAAACAAACGTTAAAATCTTTTTCTAGGTTATGTAACGAATTAAGGACAGATTTAGTGAATAATTCGCATTCTAGCATATAAATTCTGCAAGTTCTTGACAGAATTAAGCTTTTGCAAGCAATTAACAGTGCTTTTTTGATTCTTTGATACTAGAAAACAGCGCAAACTGTGCTGAGATTGAACATAACCTCAAAAATAGTCACTTGAACTTTGAAAATGTCCATTTAGACAACTTTCTGGACAATTTTGAATGTGAATCAGCAATTTTAAGATCATTGGCAAATCTGGAAAGTTCTCGAACGGAGTTATTGAAGATTTTTTAGTGATATTTTGAGGTTATGATCAGAAAACATGTCCAAAAACAGCAGTTTTAAGCCTATTTTTATACAAAAATCGAATGAAACCTTAAGAAATCCATTATAATTTGGGAATCAATGTGAAAACAGACCTCAAATTTCATGTTCTTGAAGTGTTTGGAAGCATTGTACAAGGCATATTATCTCCCCCTTGTCTCCACCTTATCCCACCCCCAAATGTGGCTTCAATTCAATAAAACACCCGTTTATTGCATCGTTTCAGATTCAGTTGTATGGATTCAACAAGGAATTGTATCGCAATATGTCAGAGGCACAACATAAATCTCAAGTAAGCATCTTCCATAAACAGCTTCTCCTTTCCATCCTTGATAGACCATCGCTGACACGATGAATGTCTTGCAGGGAATCGTTGGAATTTCACTGATGGTCCAAATTGGTGATACGCCCAATCCTGAACTTAGAATTATAACGAGTACTTTTAATAAAGTTTTATACAAAGGTAAGTGCCTTAAATTCACATTCACAGCCAAATAGAACATTATGGATATTTTTTCAAATGTGCGGAAAAAAATGCCGTGGAAAACAAACACATTCTCTAAAGCGGATAATATTTTGGGTTATTCGTCAAAATATGGGTGAATTATGATTGATTTCTCGTTGTTTTTTCCCTCTGGGCTTGGATGGTAAAATCCGCTGAAAGAGTGGCTAAATCCTGACGGGAATATCAGTCTGACACACAAAGCCGATGTGCTTTAGGAGAATCACTTTGAAAACAGTGCTTTTGTCAGTCATTTGCCCCTCAAAGCTCCTCTTTCTGCAAATCCACATTGGGGAGGAATTATTCAGGGCGACCGAAGGGAGTCATAGATAATCGGATTATTGGAAAAGGAGAGGAAGGAAAAAAAAGCAATTTTTAGGCATTGAAAACAACCGCAGCTCCTTTTTCCGAAGGTAATGTGGGGATGAATTTCGGGATTCGTGACAGGAATCAATTGAGAAAATTGAAAAATCTCCGCAACAGCGTAAATCTTCCAGAAAAGAGTTCCAGCAAGAAAACCAGAAAGCTAAAACCGATCATAACGATGTAAATCAAGAAGATTCCATGCAATTGACGAAAGATCAGAGGTTTCTGAAGTCCCTGATCAGGTTGAGGCTTTACGAATTTACTATCGTAAAATTCCGAAGTCCATTTCGAAACCAGGCCATTTTCTTTGAATTTCCACAGCTCAGTGTCGAAAGCCTGGACGAGATGTGAATACTTCTGCATAACCATTGAAACTGGATAGAGAATTGTTTCGTGGCGAACGCTGTGATATTTGATGCCCTTTAGGAAAAACTTCTGGTTCAGATAAGACAGAGCAAATTCCGTTCCGATCATAGCTCCTTTGAAGCTTCTGTCCAGCGTCTTAATCCGGAGGCGCTCAATGTCTCTGCTTTCGGTCGGTTCTAACATAGATCCGTATATTGTGCGAAATGGAAATTGGCGTAAGATCTCATGAGAGCCGTAAATCTTGTAACCTTCTTCCTGCATTTCTTCAATCGAATCGACGAGAACGGGACCTTTGCTCTCTTTAAGGAACCCAAAGAGAGCTCCTTGATAGCTTGTCCGGACCTGCATTTTAAAAATCCACAATTTATGATAGTTTTTAGGATTCAAGATCGTTAAACTCACCACTAAACTCAGAATAATCCAGGAAATCAGAAGAAATCTGGCAAAGTTCCGTCTCGGACTCGAAGGCATGCTTCCGCCCAAGAAAACGTTGATAACATTCACGAACGGAAAATGGTTGTTAAACCCGAAGATGAAGATTCTTTTTCGGACAGGCAGAAACTTGCCGACAATCACAACGACAGTCCAGATGATAAAAACTGCCAAAATACTCGTCCAAACTGTTATGTTGAAAGGATACAGAATCTTCTCCATGGCCGTAAGATTTCGTCCAGGCGGAACGAATAGGATTAGGTTTGAGAAGAAGTAAGGAATCGTACTGGACAATAGTGATCCTCGAGCTGGAATCCTCGATGGATATGCAGCAGCAATAACGTCCACTTCTCCCCTAAAAAGCTACCAATTTCCCAATAGAAAAGATTCTTAGTTGGATAAAACTTAGACTTACCATATCGTGAAGTTCAGGAACGTTGGATAATTTTAACTGAAGTGTGAAATTAAGACGGTCAGCTAAGTTATTTGCAACAAGACCTTCAACACCACTGAAATCGAAGCTTCCATTCTCGTACGATTTAATTATCAAATACGGAGACAAATTTAAAGTTCCAATTGTCAATTTGCATCCATAAAAGTCACTGAATTTGTCAGGGAAAATTGTTATTTTGTTAATGAAGTGATCTTCGTGAAAAACTCCCGAAATGACGGATTTCACTTGTCCGCATTTTTCTGGTTTATACGGAAAATAAGTGTGCAGGAAAGCTCTGTCCGTTTTGTAAGGATCGTAAGTCACGACGTTGACATTCACGACATGCAAATCCCAGCAATCCTTGAGGATCCTTGTGACCAAATGAATGTAATTCCGCTCAACACTCGTCAGGACGATTGTGAAGAAGCCGCGGAAATCAAAGGCTTCCAGAGTGACGTTGTCCATGATTTTCCTGAAGGATTCGTAAGAATCCAGGACGAAAACGTTGAAGAATCTTCCGACGTCGATTTCCTTCGTTGACAGTCGATCAAAAGCCTCGAGGCGAATGAGAATCGGTTCTTGAACATCATAAATGATTTCGTTGATGATTCCTGATTGAATTATGTAACTTTGAGCATCTTTGTCCACTCGAAGGATTGAGATTTCCGTTGTTTTTTGCCTGTAAAACTCTTCAATCACGAAAGCCACTAATCTTGAAAGTGGATTGCCAAATTTCACTGTCAAATCTCTGGATTTGTGAGCACTGATAAATAAAATCCTTGTGAAGAAGGCAAGAATAACAATGACAAAATGCAGAACTTTCATTTTTCCACTTTGATTCACTCAAACAGCACAACAATGTGTGTCACGAGACATCGAAACATGTTCCAAACTACATAATTCCATTAACTTTTTATGAATCAAAACTCATTAGGGCAATAATTCGTTATTGATGCGCATTTTTTTAAAAGCTGAATATGGATTTTTCCTAATGTTCTTCATTAGAGAAGTGTGAAAAAAATGATTTCATTTCATTACCTCAAGTCAATTCAGCATCATTTATTCAATTATTGCTTTTGCGAGCATAAAGCATGAATTTCGTTGCATGAAATCAATTGAAGAAATTGAAAAATTGCCGCAAAAACGTGCATTTCTGAGAAAGAAGTTCCAGCAAGAAAACCAGAAAGCTAAAACCGATCATGATGAAGTAGATAAAGAAGATTCCTTGCACTTGTTCCATTGTCAAAGGCTTATGAAGTCCCTTATCAGGTTGAGGTTTGACGTATTTGCTATCATAGAATTCTGACACCCATTTTGAGATGAGACCATTTTCTATGAGTTTCCACAGCTCAGTGTCGAAGGACTTCAAGAGGTGTGAATATCTTTGCGTGATTATCGACACAGGATAAAGTAATGTTTCGTGGCGAACGCTGTGATATCTGATGCCCTTTCGATAAAGCTGTTGATTCAAATACGACTGCGTGAATTCAGTGGAAATCACGGCTCCTTTGAAGCTACTATTGTCCACTATTTGCTTCCGGAAGCTTTCTGCTTTCCTGCTATCTGTAGTTGCAAGCATGGAGCCGTACATTTGCTTTAATGGAAAGTGACGCGCTAATTCCTCAGTGCAGTAAATCTTGAAACCTTCTTCCTGCATTTCTTCGATGGAGTTCACGTGCAAATGGCCTTTGCTCTCTTTAAGGAACCCAAACAAAGCTCCTTGATAGCTTGTCCGGACCTGCATTTTAAAAATCCACAATTTATGATAGTTTTTAGGATTCAAGATCGTTAAACTCACCACTAAACTCAGAATAATCCAGGAAATCAGAAGGAATCTGGCAAAGTTCCGCCTCGGACTCGAAGGCATGCTTCCGCCCAAGAAAACGTTGATAACATTCACGAACGGAAAATGGTTGTTAAACCCGAAGATGAAGATTCTTTTCCGGACAGGCAGAAACTTGCTGGAAATCACAACAACTGTCCAGATGATAAAAACTGCCAAAATACTCGTCCAAACCGTGATCTTAAACGGAAACAGAATCCTTTCCATGGCCGTTAAACTCCTTCCAGGGGGAACAATAAGGATCAGGTTTGTGATAATGTAAGGAATCGTGCTGGCCACTGGAGAGTCTTGATCAGATATCACTGCCGGATAGCAGACTGCAATGAAGTCCACTTCTCCTCTGAAAAGCTATCGATTTTACAACTTCATTTACGGTTTTACATAAAATTTAAAAGTCAGTTTTACCATTCCATTGAGTCCTGTTGAATTCTCACCCTGTACCTTTCCCCAACGATCTTCGGATGATTTATATTTAAGTGTGAAGTTAAGACGCTGAGCTAAGACTCTAGCAACGATGCCTTCAACGCCACTAAAGTAATAGCTTTCATTATCCATGGACGTAATCATCATGTATGGAGGAAAATTAAAGGTTCCAATCGTCAGTGGACATCCATAGAAGTCACTGAATTTGTCAGGGAAAATCGTTATTTTGTTAATGAAGTGATCTTCGTGAAAAACTCCCGAAATGACGGATTTCACTTGTCCGCATTTTTCTGGTTTATACGGAAAATAAGTGTGCAGGAAAGCTCTGTCCGTTTTGTAAGGATCGTAAGTCACGACGTTGACATTCACGACATGCAAATCCCAGCAATCCTTCAGGATCCTCGTGACCAAATGAGTGTAATTCCGCTCAACACTCGTCAGGACGATTGTGAAGAAGCCGCGGAAATCGAAGGCTTCCAGAGTGACGTTTTCCATGATTTTCCTGAAGGATTCGTAAGAATCCAGGACGAAAACGTTGAAGAATCTTCCGACGTCGATTTCCTTCGTTGACAGTCGATCAAAGGCCTCGAGGCGAATGAGAATCGGTTCTCGAACATCATAAATGATTTCGTTGATGATTCCTGATTGAATTATGTAACTTTGAGCATCTTTGTCCACTCGAAGGATTGAGATTTCCGTGGATTTTTGCCTGTAAAACTCTTCAATCACGAAAGCCACTAATCTTGATAAAGGATTGCCGAATTTCACTGCCGAAAGTCTTAATTCGCCTTGTGAATCTTCAACACTATTTATGTTGTTTGTTAAGAAGGCAAGAATGATTATGAAATAGTTCAGAACTTCCATTTTTCCACTTGCAAAGGATAACAATAAATGTTTCAGAGGACTAAAGCAAGTTCCTTTTATATCATTCCAAACACCTCATCTAACAATTCCATTAAGCTTTTATTAGAACTCATTAAGGATAATATTTTTCAGTGTTGTACAATTTTTTAAGTAGAGAAAAAGTGCCTGAAAAGTAAATCTGTCCATTTTATTCTACTAATTCGAGTCGTAAGTGAAGCTTTAATGCGTTTTAATGTCACTATAAAGCTAATTGATAAAATTACAAAGTTTTTTAGCAATCACTGAATATTTCGACAGAATTTCGAGTACAAAAACCAAACAGCTGAGAGAAATAAATAAAATATAAGCCAAGAATATTCCGTTCAATTGATCAATGTTCAGAGCTTGAGGAGCACTTTTCTGTGACTCCATATTTAAGTTCTTCATGTCATAGTAGAGCGAAGACCATTTATTAATAAGTCCACTCTCAATATACTTCCACAGTTCGCCGTCGAAGGCCTTGGTTAAGTACGAATACTTTCTCACGTAGATGCAAATGTACATTTGAATGATTTGCTCTTTTGCTACGCGAAAACTGATGCCGTCTTTGGCGTATTTCTCATTCATGTACGCCACGACTAAGGCAGTTGTGACAACGGCGCCTTTGAAGTCATGATCCGCCATCCTGAACCTGAGATTTTCTATTTCTTCAGAGCTTTTGGTGACAAACATACTCTTGTAGCGAGTCAGTGAATCAAAGTACTTGCGAGATCCTTCAACTCCATAAATCCTGAAGCCTTCGTTGAGCATTTCCTCAAACGTGTCCACAACTGTGACATTCCTGCTGTCCTTCAGGAAGCTGAACAAGGCGCCTTGATAGCTGCTTCGGATCACAAGACTCGCGAAGATCCACAGCATCAGAAGGAATCTGGCGAAATTCCGCCTCGGAACAACTGGAACGCATCCGCCGAGGAAGATGTTGATGGTGTTGATGAAGGGATAATTGTTGCGTTGGCCGAAGATAAAGCTTCTTTTCGCGGGACTTAAGAATTTGCCAACAGTAACAGCAATTGCTGCCAAAACTAAGCACGCAGCAATGCAACTCCAGATGATGTACTTCATGGGCAGGAAGAGTCTCTCCACAGCCGTGTAAGATCTCCCAGGAGGCACAAGGAGAGTCAGAGACGTCACGTGGTAAGGAATTGTGCTGGAAAATGCTCCGTAGTGGGAAAATGAGGATGCAAAGGATCCCAAAGTGAAGTTTATTTCGCCTCTCAGAAGCTGCAAAGGAAGGAAGGCATTTTCTTAATTCATTTCTTATTTAATTCCACTGAAATGCAAGGTGTTGCTAATGTCGGAGATGCAACTAGAAATATTTAAATAATTTGTCAATATTCGCGAATGACCGGATTAAATTTTACTTTAATATTTTTTTTTTCTTAAGAAACAGACGAAATTAAAGATATTTTGGTGTTGTTATTTATACCGAAAAATTGAAATAAGTGTCAATTCAACCATTTTTACCCCCAAATTAGTGATTATGACGAGTTTAGAATGTTTTTCCTGGTGAAAAATGAAAGTTATAGTGTTGAATTTTAATTTAAAAAGACTTTTCTTGGTTAATATTCAACATATTTCGGGATATTTCGTTCTTTGATTTGAATTTTTATCTTTTTTATCAGTTAGAAAGGTGAGTTTCTTAATCAGGATCACGCCAGAGAGTCAAAGAATGTGCAAATGTGTGAAAAAGACTGAAATGTGTCTTTTATTCCTTACCATTCTACTGGCACCCGTTGAATTTTCCCCAGCAACTCTTCCCCAATTTCCTTCAGCAATCTGGAGGTTGTAAGAAAAGTTGAGACGTTGGCCTAAAGATCTCATAATAACGCCCTCAAAGCCATCGACATAGCTGGATCCAAAGGTTAGAGGCTCGATTATGATGTTCGGTGGGAAGTGGAAAGTTCCCACGGTAAGAGTGCATTTGTAGAAATTTCTGACTTTATCAGGGAAGACAGAAGAGTTCCTTGAGAAGCTGTTCTGCTCGTAAATTCCTACTGTGACTGGCTTTACTTCGCCACAGTGATGAGGAGCGAAGGGAAAGTATGTGTGCATCAGAGCACTTTCCAAGTTAAGCGGATCGTAGCTCAAGACGTTCACATTGACGATGTAATGTTCCCAGCAATCGTGTAGAATATTCCTCACAATATTGCTGTTATCTTTCTCAATACTCGTCAAAAGAATTGTGTAAAATCCGGTAAAGTCAAAATCATCCGTTGACATAACATCGAGAATTTTCCTGCAAAAATTGGAAATTCTTTATCATATTAGAGACAAATGAAATCTTAAGTGTCTTACCTAAAAGATTCATATGAATCCAAGACAAAAATGTTGAAGAAGCGTTTTATATCACTTTTCAATCTATCAAAAGCCTCAATTCGAATTAAAATCTTCCCTTTCACATCATAGAGAACTTCATTGATTATTCCTGATTGCCTTAAGTAACTCTGGTGGTCCTTATCAGCTCTTGTGATTATCACTTGCTTAGATTTAACACTGTAAAACTCTGCTATGATCTCTCCCATTGCCTTTGACAAGGGATTTCCGAACTTCACCATTGGAATTTTGTACGTTTTATCATGAGCACAAGAAGTGGGAATTGAAAATGCTGATAACATTGCAATATAATGTAAAATTTTCATTATGAGACTTTCTAATAGAAAAACTTCTACTTTGCCGAGAAGTTGTGACTATAGTAAATGCACAGTCTTTTTTCTATAAATCCAGGAATAGATTTTGATATCTGATTTACACAATCATTAAAAGCTCTGTCATTAAATATAACAATCTGCGAGTTATAATGCATTTAATCACGTTTGTTTACACTAATCAGGAGCAATTTGCATAGAAAGACCTTCCAAAACCATTAGAGTTTTGTGTCACAGCTACAAATTAAATGCCATAAAGGCTAAGAGCAAGGGGGAGATATGCAAAAGGGTCGGAAGTGGTGTACCAGATCATTAAAAGTGGAAGTGTTTCAGTTCTTGCAATATTTGGGTCGCGACTTTGATTTTCTGTTGATTATTTTACTCTGAGAAATTAATTTCAAACCAAGTCTTAGTTTTGACATATTTTTCTAGGTTATGTGATGGAATTAAGACACCTTAAACACCCGTAAAGTTGAAATTCTTGCACCTAAATTGACAGTGTTTTTTCTTCACTTTATTGGTAGAATTGTGTTTTTTTTACTCAATGAAAATCATGATTTACGAAAGAAAATGCTAAAGTCACACATAACCTCAATTTCTTTTAATAAACTATATTGCTGTTTTGAGTTAGAAATTGAAAAAAAATTAAAGGATTATAATCAAGAAAAATACGAAAAAGTGCAATTTTAGCATTAAAAAAAAATCATGAATTAATGTATGAACACGTGAGTTAGATTTCAGTTAGTTTTCGGTCATATTTAGATTTTAGTCTTGTTGTGAACATATTTTTCTAGGTTATGTGACTGATTTAAGACTAAATAACGTTTAAAGTAGAAATTCTTGTGTCAAAATTGACTGTATTTTCACTTCATTGGTAGAATTGTGTATTTTTTCTCCATGAAAATCGTGATTTTAGGAAAGAAAACGATGAAGTCAAATATAACCTCAATTTTTTTTTATATAAAAATAAATTAAATAAAAGGCTGTTGATTAAAAAAAAATACGAAAAAGTACAATTTTAGCGGATGAAAATCATAAAATAATATATGAAAACGTGAGTTTAGAAGTTGTTAGTTAGATTTCAGTTAGATTTCAGTCAGATTTAAGTCAGATGTAATCTTAGTCTTGTTGTGAACAAATTGTACAGATTTAAGGCATATTATCTCCCCCTTTGGCTGCGAGTAAGGCAAAGTGATGAGCATTGAAATGGACATTTTGCGTGCTCAATTGAGAAAATTGAATAATTGGGCCAGAAAGCGTAACTTCCGCGACAGCATTTCCAGCAAGAAAACCACGAAGCTGAGCGATAATAGAATGGCATAAGCTGCAAATATGCCACTCAATTGATCCAAGGTCAGTGGTTTTAGACCACTCTTTCTCTCCACCTCCTTGAGATACTTGATGTTGTAGAAAATCGATGTCCATCGATTAATGAGTCCGCTTTCGACATACTTCCACAGTTCCTTGTCGAAAGGCTTCATTAGATAGGAATATTTTCTCAGGAAAATGCAATAATAGAGCGTAACAACTTGCTCCTTGGCTCGTCGATATTGGACATGTTCATTGGAGTGCTTTTCGTTCAAGTAAGCTATATTCAGAGCCGGCGTCACAACGACTCCATCAAAATCCGGCGAGCTTGATCTCTCGCGATAATCGTCCAGCTCCTGCGCAGAGATAGGAACGTACATTTTGTTGTAGGGTTCCGTGGTGAAGTACTTCTTCAAGCTATCGACGCCGTATATCTTCAGGCCTTGCTTGTGCATTTTCGACAGCGTGTCTGCCGCGGAAGCGTTCCGATTCTCCTTGAGAATCTTAAAAAGGGCACCTTGATAGCTGCTCCGAATCACAAGACTCATGAGAATCCACACCATTAGGAGGAATCGGGCGAAGTTCCGCCTCGGCGTCACTGACACGCATCCGCCGAGGAAGACGTTGATGGTGTTGATGAAGGGATGATGATTGCCATGTCCGAAGATGAACGCCCTTCTTTGGGGCGTCGTGAATTGCGTGGCTGCCACAAGTACAGCAGACGCAATGAATATCGATCCGATACAGCTCCAGATGATGTACTTCATGGGGTGGAAGAGCGTCTCCAAGGGCGTGTAAGGTCTGCCAGGCGGTATTAACATGGTTAGGGATGTGGCGTGGTAGGAAATGGTGGTAGTTAGAAAGCCATAGTGGGCGTAGGTGGTAGCGAAGGAGCCAACGGTGAAGTTAACTTCGCCACGAAGAAGCTGAAATGTCAATTAAGAAGCCTCATTCAGATCATGCGCTAGAGCGTTTACAGACTTGCGGCTGATCCCTCGATATATCGAAGGTTCAAACGATATTTATGGGGTTCCCAAGCGGACAAAATGGCGGATCTCTTGCGAATGATTTCCCGAGCTACTAAAATCATTCAATTCTTCTGCGAATCTGCCATTTTCGCAAGTTTATCGTAAATTTTCACGCTTTTTGATAAAATAAACAAATCAATTGACAGCTGACAGCGGCAAACGAAGCAAAATTGTCGCTAGTGTCGACAAAGAAGAATAACTTCTGAGTGCGTACAGCGTCAGTTCAGCCACGAATTATGGCTGATCTGAGCTTTACACACTCCAAGCTCATCCACGGAGGATTGATCCCAGTTCCCGTCGATTCGAGGGTAACCCGCAAGTCTGTGGTCGCTCTTAGACAGGCTGAATTCTTTACCATTCCGCCGATTCCTGTTGAATTCTTTCCATCTTCTGAAATCCAACCCCATCGAGCGTCGTCCGTTTTCAGGATCAAGGAGAAATTCAGGCGCTGCCCAAGAACTCTCGTGACAATGCCTTCGAATCCGTCATAGTAATAGCTGCCATTCCCGTGCGGCGTGAGTTTCATGTACGGCGGGAAGTCAAAGGTTCCAACAGTGAGATTGCATCTGTGCAAATTGTTTACTTTCTCCGGGAAGATGGAGCCATTTGTCGTGAAGGTTCCATTCTCTAAAACACCCCAAACGACCGGCTTCACTCGGCCACAGTGCGAAGGCGTGAAGGGAAAGTAGGTGTACATGATGGCCTTTTCCGTGTCATTCTTGGCGTAAGTTGCGACATTCACGTTCACAATATTCTTCAGCCAGAATTCTTCCAACATTTTCCCAGCAATTTCCGTGTAATTGTCCGCAATTCCAGTCATAATTATTGTGTAAAATCCAGTATAATCGTACGTTTCAACGCTCATCACATCTAGAATCTTACTGCAATGATTAAGATTTCAAACGGACATCAAATGACTTCACAAATAAGACTCACTTGAAGGATTTGTAGCTGTCACAGACGAGAACATTGTAAAATCGTGCGAAATCCTTTTCACGTCTATCAAAAGCCTCCTGACGAATTAAAATTCTGTCTTTCGTCTCGTACAGAACTTCATTGATGATTCCCGACTGATAAATGTAACTCTGGTGATTTTTATCCGCTCTGGTTATTGACAATTGCATTGATTGTTCTGCGTAGAAATCAATTATGACGGATGCAAGTAATTTTGACAAAGGATGGCCAAATTTTGGTTCCGGAATTTTAATGGAGTTTGACGCAATCGCGAGGATTAGCAAGGAAAACAGAAGAGTCTTCATTGTGAAGACTTGTGAGAGCAAATGTCTACTGCAAGTTACCGTCGTGACTGTTGTGAATAAATAAACAGCAAATGTGTCTTTCTATCAATTTATGATCTGATTTAATCGTCCAACACGCGAAATTCAATGTTTAATTACAACTGTGTCTAATGCATTTTCCTAATCATCCCTAAATTGGCCGATGAACGCTCAGTAAAAACACAATCCACTGATCACAATTCTTCCATATTGCTACTCTAGAGCCCAATAGATAATCTACAGGATTCCTTCAGGAATCCCCACGGTGAAATCTTTCTTCCCAAAAGCCTGGGCAAATATTCTAGGCGTCTTGCTGGATGTCTTCACGTTTTTTTTTGCAGAAAAATCCATTGAAAATCTGTCGTTTTATCTCCTTTTTGTCATTAAAGAAACTTCAAATGCTATTCAAGAGGATTACCACAGGGAAATCCATTAAAAATATGTCATTTAATGTATTTTTCGTCCTTGAAGGAACTTTAAACAATCTTTCAGCAGGATTTTCACGGAAAAATCTTCGTTTTATGTCGGTTTCACCCTTGAAAGAACTTGGAAAGATATTTTGGCAGAATTTCCTCAGGAAAATCAATTAAAAATCCGTCAATTTATGTCTTTTTTACCCTAAAAGAAACTTCAAACAATCTTTCAGCAGGATTTCCACGAAAAAAGATATGTTATCAAGAAGTCAGGAAAGATAGTGGAATTTTCTATAGAAAATCCCACAAGACATAATGGATTGTCTGGCGGAATTCCAACGAGATTCCATCGTGACTGTTTTTACAGGGCAGCGCATATTTTTCCTCTTTTTGAAAAAATATCAACTGTGTTTCTTCTCCTTGCTTGCAATTGTGTTCAACCTTTGCATAACATTCTTGTACGTCGAATGAATAGTTTGAGAGTTAATTGAGTTGTGCCCTCTTGGCAGGAACTTCCACACCAATTCGCCACATCTCTCTGCGATCTCTCCTGCCGAACACGGAGCAATTCATGACGTACGAAGGATCAACAACGCATCCCGGCTGCTGGGAGAGCACCGTGTGGATTATTCTAAATAAGCCAATTTACATAACAAAGCAAGAGGTGAGAGACTGTCGAATTGGCGGAGTCAATTGGAGTAATGGAAGGAAAATTGACTTTCTCAATACCTGTTCTTCTCCCCCCCCTCCCAACAGTTATACGCTCTCAGGCGACTCATGCAGGGTTCTGAGCACACACCCAAGGCTCCGCTGGGAAATAATGCAAGACCGCTTCAGCCACTGCATCATCGCACTGTGAGAACCAACATAGACTTCCAGCATAGTTCTAAGGTTGGTCACACGAGCATTTTATTGTTTTCCCACAATTAATTTTTCAGCCACTCTCTCTCTCTTCACTAAATTGCATTTTCTCATTCACTTCTCGTGCCGCCATGCCGACGATGAATATTGCAGCAGAATCAAAATCAAAATTGTCCAACAATGCAACGCGAAATGTACTACAGAGGTGAGTTTGGGCGTTGAGCATTTAATTAATTTTCTCCACATTTGATGAATGGCACAAAAAGTTGCCTTTGTGTTTTGTACTCACACTAAATCCCCACTTCAATTGATCCAATTAATCTCACTGATGATACTCAGGCCTCGCCATATTCAATCCCGTCAAGGGCTTAATGCCGTCCAGGGGTGAATAGCGCTGTCACGAATTTAGTCAATTCTTCCAAATGAATTGTTAATTCACACCTTCACGTGTGGGAATCGCTTATGGACTCTCCAATCGCATTTTGACGCCATCCAACACCCAAATGATCCCAGTTAATTATTCCCCATGCAAAATGCTAGTGTTTCAATGCGAATTTCCTGGATTCGAAACACAAATAAAGCACTCAAATTTCTCCAGTGAAAACTTAAACATTCTATTATTAAATAAGGTCGCAAATCCCAGCGAACCAAATGTCTATAGAAAAAAGCAATTAATTCAGCTAAAAAGTGCTAAAATTTGAGCAGTTCTTGAACAAAAAGTTCTAAGCTGAAGGATTGAAATGGAACTCAGCGATCGCAAGAACATATTTCAGCTAATTCTTCATCAATTTTCAAAAATTTCCCGAATTTTCCTGCTCTTTTTCGCTAAATATTGTGCTAAATTTTGTGCTTTTTCTGATAAAAACTTAGCAATGAAGTTCCAAATACTATAAGAAGAAGTATCGCACTTTTTTTCGCGTTACTGTCACATAATGCTAGCAGTGAGAATCTTGTCAGGAGGAGAAGGCCGCCATGACAGTGGTATTCCCGCCACAAGTTATCCAGGGATACCAATTGGGCAGGGATTGGTGTTTTGCAGGCATGTACAGCAAGAAATCAGGAAGTCCAACTTCCATAGCCTTCCCTTCATCCGGTTTCTCGTGTCATAAAAAAATATGTTTGTGGCCTTAAAGATCAGAAATCATGTAAATTTCTTACTATTGAAGGAAGATTTTCATGGCGCTATTTATACAATTAACTTGAGTGTTGTAATCACGAAGTATATTATTGAAATGGCATGGATTTTAAGTATAATAGCACAAAAATCAGCTTTATCAAGCTCAATTTTGGCGATTTAGTAGCCTGTGTTCGCTGGGATGTGAGAATCTTGGTGAAAAAACATATTTTATTCTGTGCTCTTCACCCCTTGACTTTTCCCCTCGCATTCTTGCGAGTTATTGTGAGTGTGCACACCTTATGGATGGATTGTAATAATATTTTGCCACAATAGCAAACAAATGGACAGCCGAGATAACACTTCGAGGGCGAGAACGTGGTTTTTCCGAGTCAATCTTTCACTCACTTCACTAGAACGCATTCCCCAAGGGGTGGCATTCGCCCAGAGAGACATCAGCCACAGTGATGGAGTCCATTATTCAATAAACAACAATTAAAACTAATACTTTGAGCCGTGCAGAGGATAAATTACACCAGTTATTGACAGAGAGACAAAAGTGAATATTAATAATAGCTCTTATTCTTTATATATACAATTACCAGGTAGTTTATATACGGTTTAAGAGATGGTGGAAGTAAGAGTATAACTAAACTCTGAACAACTATTTACATACATATATAGAAAAAATTGTGCGGTGAAGGAAATCCTCGTTGTAGAAAAACAAGTACTTATATATATAGAAAAGAAGTATAATGCATTAAAAAAAAATGGGTGGACAATAAATTATTCTCTATATATTTATTAAATTGATGAATGAAGTTGGAAAAAAAAACTGTAAAAGACGCTATAAAATGTAAAACTTTCTGCATCTCAGCAGTTTCTTAGGCAGCAAAACTCCTTCAACGTCTAATCTAGAGGATCAATCAACTTTACCAGGACATATTTTTTTGAAGCTTTTAACATCTAATCAAACTACTCCAGCATAACAACATAAATATACGTAAGAGAGGGAAAGAGAGAGAAGAGAGGGAAAGGGAAGTTTTGTATTTCTGGTCCACCCAATGGGTTTTCCCTGAACGCATTTGATTGATTTTCATTGACGTATGATTGAAAATTTAGCGACAAAAGAGATTTGCTCCTATTGAACACTTTATGGATCGACGGGTTAATAGAAAACTATGTAAAAAAAAGGGAGAAAATTGAAAATTTAGTGTTAATATCGCTTCGAAACTCACAAAATTTACCTAAAAATCCCCAAAATACCTTCAAATAATTGTTTTCTGAATTTTTCTGTTGATTTTATTGCAATTTGGTAAAATTGTCGAGCACATTTTATTCAAACAACTTCAAAATAATCAAATTTTTTAGCAGTTTTCAAGTGGAAAACAATTAAAAGATATGAAAAAAATTATATTTATTCAAAATCTAAGAATATTTTAGGACATTTCTATGGTTTGGAACAATTTTCTAACTATAAAAAGATAATCTCAAAATTTTTTCAGTTGCAGAACAAATCTCAAGCTTTCCAAAAAAAAATTGAAGCTTTTCATAGTTTTCGATTCACCCGTCGGAATAGAATTAAAAGAAGGTATTAAAAATCGTTGAAGTTTGCCCCCCATTTTCTGTTGTATAGACAAAGAAATCCCGAGTGAAAATGTAAATAAATGAATTAATCCTTAAAGAAAAAAGTATATAAATAGTCGAGAAAAAGTGCTTCGATACAATAAAAAGTCAAAAAAAAAACACATTGAAGAAAGGATTTCTACATGAATTAACCAATTTGTCGACGCGCGAGTCGCAGTGCTGTATAAAGGACACTTAATACCTAAAGAAGATAATTAAATTAATGGACATGAATTATGTATATGAGACCCTGTAAAATGTTAACTAAAGAGCAAAAGTGAGCTGATGTGAGATTTTTGTAGCCAAGACAAGTTCCAAGGATAATTTCTCGAATGCTCAGCGCATCAGAAAAAAGAAAAAAAGGAAGAAAAATCATTATGGAAATACTGTAATTTATAGTTAGTTGTATTGGACTTAGTGGAAAGGTGAGAACCAGAAGAATAAATGAAATTTTTGCAGAATCTCTCTTTGATGACTGGAAGCATTGGATAATTGAGCTTAATGTGATGCTGCATTATTGAAAGCTCTCGGCGTTTGTCAGTTTTCCCCCAAGGGGGAGATAATACGGCTAAACAGTGTACAATCGTGTTCCAGACACTTCCAGAACTTCAGCAGTGCTTAAAACGTTCGTTTTAAGCACTTTTTCAACCGCTTAAAGCATCATAACCTCAAATTAAGACCGTCTTTGACCCAAAAATTGACACAATCTTTACTTTTATGATTCTGAAAACTATCAGAGAAGCAGTTTTTCAGAAATATTTGAAGTTTTCAGTAAAAATTTTGACGTGAATAAATTTTCAATCAATTTTTTAGATGCACTTTGGATCATAACCTCAAAACTATCTTGAAATAATCTTATTCGAAGTGTTTTAACGGCAAATTTGGGGGAAATTAATCTATTTCAGTGTAGGAAATCAATAAAAAATCACTCGAAATAGACAATTTTGTATTCTGAAACAATATTTTAGAGGTTATGATCAATCTTCGTATAATTAACACCAGTTTAACATTGAAAGCAGGTAATTCTACCATCGTAGATGTTATTTTGTGGAAAATTCTGTCTTAAATTCACAACTTAACCTAGAAAGATGTCAAGAACACTTATTTTTAACGGCACCACATTGATGATAAGCTTCTTCTGACCGTAATATCTCCCCCTTTGGCTTTCTCCCAATTAAGGAGCTTTTTCTGTTCTGTGTTTCTCACCGTTTTCCGCTCGTTGGATGGAAAAAATGCTGGTGGATTTTTTTTCGGAGTGTGATGAAAAATCCAATTTGACGACACTTTGGCGCAAATAATAAAATTGTCAACAGAGAGACATATCGGCGTGCAATAATCATTTAGTGGTTTGAATGATGTTCGTTTTGTCAATACTTGGGGAGCTTGTTTTTCCAAACTGCGTTCGCCCCAAGAAGAATGTCGCGCGCCGGCCATAAAAGAAGAAGAGACTCGAGGAAAAAAAGGCAAGACGAAGTTGTGTTTGGCAGAGAAATGAAATGGAAAAACAAGAGATATCGAAGCGAATAAATAAATGGGCGAAATAATGGGGAAACACTTAAACTCCACTAACTGTGTCAATATATCGAGCGGCGGCAGTAAAGAGAAAATCCACGAGGAATTTATGCCACGGACTAAATTTCCGACACTCCAAGATGCGCGACTGTTCGCCACGTGCGGAGATGTCTTGGGCAATTTCTTAGGAGATAGTGTGGCTTGTGCAGTTATTGAATTAAATTATATTTTTGCCCACGGAGCCAAAAGTTGAGCTGTACTTGAATTTCATGGTGGAGTTGCGGAGTGTTTGGCTGTTTCGTGTTTCCCGCCATAATTCTGCCCGGAGTGGGTGGGGCCCCCCCGCCCACCCGTCAGGCACCGTATCAGTCACTCTGAGGCCACCCGGAGAGGAGTCAAAGGATCGATTTCCTGACTCATCGCATGCCATCTCGCCATTTCCAACACTGGAGACGCTCCATCGAAATGCGCCAACTTTCGCCGTATCACAAGACCAAACTATGAGTATGTTTTATTTACTCAACCCCCCGCAACCCTCGCCAAGAGGAGCTCAGGATTGAGTTTATTTTATTATTTCAGTGGCTTTAGTTGGTCGGAACTTTTATTTTGGCCAAAACAGAGAGAGCTTCATGCAAGAACAGTGGGGCAAAAAACACACACACACAGCCCACAAAGAAACGATAACAAAATTTATATTGTCAGAAGAATATTTCTGAGAATCTCCACGTACTTTCGCCACTGCCGAATACTCATCTTCACCCCCTCGAGGGCATTTCGCTAGACTTGAAGAGTGCACGAAGGGCCGAGGAAAGAAGTCAAGACGAGAGATAAAAGTGCTTTGATAGGGTGAAGAGGAATTAAAGTCTCAGTGTCTGTCCTCACGAGCTGATTTCCTGGCTTCTGCTTTGCCAGCGGAAGAGCCGGGAAATGGACAGTTACGCGGAGAGTTGAGAAAATTGTGTATATAAAGTAAGAAGTCTTGGAATACACGTGAAACATGCAAAAATATACCCGAATTATTTTCCTTTCCTGGCAAAGTTGCATCATTTGTATTTAAATCTTAAATATTTTAAGCATTTTTGATTTTTTTCTCCACATATTGCCACCAGAGGGCAGCAGTTTAAACGTTGAAATCATGTAGAATTGTCTATTTATTTCGTCCTAATTTTAGCTTTGCAAATTTTGTGGCTTTTTCTATATAAATTAATTCTGCAAAATATTTAAAAATTAAAATTTTTTACGCAAATTTCGATAATTTTAAAATACAAATCAAAAATTAAATATTTTATTGAGACTTTTGACTTTGACTTTGACTGGCAGAAAATGACTAAAGCAGTGCTTTTCAGCTAATTTTTCCTCAAATAATGGAAACTTCTGGTAAAAAAAAGTTCTTTTTTAGTTGTTATTTGGTTATCAGATCCAAATTCTTAGTAAAATCTCAAAGGAAAAATTAAAATAAACGTTCAAAGGATTAACAAAGTTAACTTTTCACCGAAATTGTGCACATTTTGGCACTTCCTTTTCACTTTGCGTAGTGAAAACACCATTAATTTGTGGGCAGAATTGTGAAGTTCGCAGTATTGAAGCTTTTTCTGTGATTCTCTCGTCCTTAGGCGCAGTACAACATACTTATACTCCCCTTTATCTGCAATCTCGTGTCTGGGAAGGCTCCAACCCCTATATAATTAAATTCCCTCCACGCTGTTCGGTGGGCAAAAAGTGAAATACACTTCAATCGATTCTGCAGCCCGAAACGCCGAAACCCCACACGGGAGACCAACACTATCGGCCGACTGCTGTACCGGAAAGTCGAAAATGGTGTAATATTATTCAATCTCTGGGAGGGTGGCTTTAAAAAAGCGCCCGGCGCGCGGGGTGTTGTGCAATTTCCTCTAAGTGGTATGAAATTTTCATAAAAATCCACTCAACGATCACGACGTGGGCGGGGGATGAAGTCAATTTGAACTTCCTGTAATTAAATATGGCTCAAAAGTCAATGTTAAGCAACTATTAAGGTGGAATGACGGTGGGGTTGAAGAAAAAATTACACCCCCGAGGAATTGAGTGGTGGAATTTTCTACTATCGCCACGGGAAGAAAATCCGCCCTCGAAACTTATCGATGGCCTGAGAGAGAGAGTAAAAAAAAAATTATATTCTGCGCAGGAAAAGATTACATTTTTGAGAATACTTTAAATTCCCTTTTGTCATGAAATGCGCCGAGAAAATTAGCATGTGAAGAACTTATTTTCCAGGCGCGCGCGGCAGTCAAAATGCTGAGGCTGATGGAGGGAAAATCGATGCATTTTCCACTGATACACACCAATTGAATATTGGGGTACCTTTTCCTCCGCGTGTTTAGCATCCCGAAAGTGGTTGTGAGAAACAATAAGAGCGAATTTACCCCCTTTTTTTTACCTTTCACCCTCTTTCAGCTCTGGTATAATTTGAAATTTTGCCAGTTTCGGAGAATTCCAATGGGTGAGGAAATCACCTCACGGTGGGGGGGGGGGGGGGGGGAAATTCTCAGGGTGGGTGTGGAAAACAATAAAAGTCCTGCACAGAAAAACACTCTGTTTGACTTTTATTTGAATGGCCAATCTATGGGCGGGAATGGCAGGGAATAATCGTAAAATTTTACTTGAAAGAAAATTTTGAGCCAAGCGGAAAGGAATGCAATTTGGGCGTGAAATACTCCTTTTATGTGTTCATTGGGGCATAATGAAAGTTTTACTGCAAATGCCGAGAGTTTCACTGTCGAGGTGACTTTTTAATTGGCCCAAAAGCCCAGAGAATGGCCAGAAATTCAGCCAGAAATCCATCTAAAACGCTCACCGCGAAAGAATTGATTTATGAAATGCTAAACAGCGGTTTTCACACATTCACGGCATTCGCGAAGGATTGCAAGTGTGGTGAGAGAGAGAGAGGGAAGGAAAAAAAACATGTTGGAAATTATCCCTCAACACAGGAGGGATTAATTCATTAAATGGTTTCAACAATTTCATGCGGAGAGACAGTAAATCAAGGTGTTTGGAGGGTCTTCCGTATAAATTCTGCCCAGCAGAACAGCAAACATAGACTTCCATGTCCTTATGCCATCATTACTCTCCACCCCGTCCAAACAACCGTCAGACGCTGTTTGCTGAATGTATTTTCGACCAGAGGTCACGTGGGGTTGCTTTAAACTGCACTTCCACCGCCCCTCGAATCGCGCCCGCCGTCTTCACGGACGCCATATCGATCTGGCGTTAGGAATTTAATACGAAAGCCAAGACCTTCGGGCATGGCATTTATGCTTCGATATCTGGATGAGCTTTTAGATATGTGTGATTGATGGTTCCGGCAACAGGATGATAAAGTAGTCAATTGACGTCCCTCGGCACACACGGACACTGCGCCTCGTCCGATTCACATTCTCCTCAACCACATTCACCTCACTTATCCCCGGAGCTGTTCACTCGAGAGTGGGTCGCCAGGCTCGGGTTCAAGGCGAGAATATGGCCGCACAATCGAAAAAGGAGCCTCCCAAAAGGGTGAGTTGATGGCCAAAAGAAAGACAGTAAAATCAAACATCATTTCAACAAATTGAGGCATTTTCTGTATAATTTTTCCTTAGAAAAACTCATTTTATTGCTTTTCTAGGTTATGTGATTGACTTAAGGACATATTCTGATGGTCAAATAACCCTCAAAATCATCAAATTTGTGCTTCAGCTAGGATTATTTCTCATTTTCTCAACAGAATTCCCAGTATTTGAGTTCGAAAATCTTCAGATTAGTTCAATTTCAAGTAAGAAACAGTTTAAAAGTCAATCATAACCTCAAAAATGTTATTTCAATCTATTAGAACGTCTCTGTTTGGGTTATTTCAATTCAATTCAACGTCATTTACTCATTTTCACATTTGAAGGGATTAAAATGAGTCCAACAACCGAATTCATAACCTCACAAATTGGTCAGAATTTTTTAAAGCATTCTTCTGAAGAACTAAAACAGAAAATCAAGACACAAATTTATCCAGGAACATTAAAATCAGATC